GAGAACTGGGGGGGGGCGGGGGGGGTAGAGGAGGGTTCTGGGACAGTGGGGCCACCACTGCTCACACACCATCTTGAGAGAGTCTAGAAGCAGGTGCTTCCTCTTTATTGTCACCTGTTGAGAAATGGTTATAATGAATCTAGGTTCCCTTGACGTACACATCTGTTCATTTCCCAAGTTTGGATGATGGAAGTTGAGATAGCAGAGTATTTGCAAAGTTGATTTGGCTCCTGAGGTTTGGATGGCAAATAGCAAAGGATTCACCCAAAAATGTATGTGAAGCTATTCAGTAGCTGAGTGTGGAGAATGTGGGCTGGGATAGGGGCAGTCTGGAGCGGGTAGAGTTTGAAGAAGGGACAGGTAAGGAGGGATGACTCTGGAGGGGGCGGTGCAGTACACAGCTTCCTTGCACAACTCGCCCTGTCTCTGAGCTCTTGGTTGGGAGAAGTTTCTGATCTCAGGCCTGGGGACTTGGCCTGCCTTGGGGTCCCTCTCTGACTTGTTCCTCTCTGCCCACAGCTCGGGTACCCCACGGGTGCCCCCCGCCTCCCCTTCCAGTCACAGCCTGGCTCCCCCATCAGGGGAGCGGAGCCGCCTGGCACGGGGCTCCACCATCCGTAGCACCTTCCACGGTGGCCAGGTCCGGGACCGGCGGGCAGGGGGTGGGGGAGGTGGGGGCGTGCAGAACGGGCCGCCTGCCTCTCCCACGCTGGCCCATGAGGCCACACCCCTGCCCACCGGGCGGCCCCGCCCCACCACCAACCTCTTTACCAAGCTGACCTCCAAACTGACCCGAAGGTGAGCCCCACGGGACATGGGGGACAGGGGTCGCGGTTGGGGGCTGATGGGCCTAACCTGTCTTCTACTCAACTCTGCCTCCTTTACCTCGATATCATCTCCTCCTCCACTTCCTCCTCCATTTCCTCCTCCTCATCTTCCTCCTCCTCCGTCACCCTCCGCTCCCTCCTCACACTACAGGGTTACCCTCGATCCCTCTAAACGGCAGAACTCTAACCGCTGCGTTTCGGGCGCCTCTTTGCCCCAGGGATCCAAGATCAGTAAGTCCTGTCCCCCCTCTGCTCTCACTGGCTCCGCCTCCTGGTCTGCATGTCTGAGCTGTGTGTGCAGGCGTGGGGGGCGGGGGGCTGCGAATGGGAGAGGCGGTCTGTATGTGGGGTCATTTACTCATTTAATAAACAATAGTCTGGCCTCCAGAGCCAGACTCATGAGGTTTGGACCCCAATTCTGCTGTGTGACCTGAGCAAGTCGCTCAGCCTCTCTGGGCCTCACTTTCTCGAAAATGGGGATAGTAGTAACAGTGGTTCCTCATAGGGTTGCTGTGCGGACTAAGTGAGGTGCTATGTGGACCGAGCTTAGAATGTTGCCTTGGAAAATGCTTTATAAACGGTTGCCATTATTGTTCATTGAGCACCTGCTGTATGTTTGGCACCATCCTGGGCCCTGGAGTAGAGTGAACAAGATGTGCTTTGCCAAGCCCTGCCCGGGCAGAGCCAGCGCTCCACCAGGGGACCCGGCAGTGAGCAGTAAATAAGTAAAATCCATAGACTGTCAGGTAGCGACAAGTACGAAAGAGAAACGAGGGCAGGGAGGGGGGGTCAGGGTGTGGGAAGGGAAGGAGCAGCTTTAAAGGGGCCGGCCTCACGGAGGAGGGTCGTTGGAGCAAAGCCTGAGGAAGGGGTGCGTGTGTGTGTCGCCCCTTCTGCATGTGGCTGTCTCTGCCCACTGCCTGTTTCTTTTGTCTTCCAAGTTCTTCAGTGTCTCTCCTACGACCTGCACTAACCATTTCAGAATGGGCTCCCGTTCTGGGCATGGGAAGGAGAGCGAATCCGACTCCAGGCCCTCCCCGGCCCAGCTCCAGCCGGCAGGGAGGCACTGGGGCCAAGGCGGGGTGCAGAGTCTTGGCGGCGGTGGGGTGGGGGAGCGGAGGCTCCTTGTGTCCAGATTAAACACTCTGGCCCCCGCTCCTCCCCTAGGGTCTCAGACGAACCTGAGAGAATCGGGGGACCTGAGGTCACAAGGTAAGTGCCTGTGCCTACCCCTGACAGCCACACTGCCCCTCCCTCACGTGCCTCAGACCCCACTTCCCTCAGCCCCTCCCCCGCTGCCCCCTGGTCCTTAGATGGGACTGGGTCTCATCCTTTAAGGCCAGCTCCCTGAATCCCCCCTGACCTCCCTTCTCTGCCAGCAGCCCTTCCTCTCTGCTCTGCCGATTGCCCCTCACTTCCTCCCCGTCCTTGAGCACCTCCTCTTGACCTTCTCTAACGTCAGCCTCTCCCATCCATAACCAGCTCCTCTTCCTGCAGACACCACACCTCCTGTCCTCTCATCCAACGAGGCAGAATGGTGGCCAGCTGGTGGCCGACAGGGTCTAACAGCCCCAGGTAGAAAGTGGTTTAGACTTTGAGGGCTAGTCAGTCTGTCCTGCTTATTCAGCTCTGCGATTGTAGCACAAAAGTAGTTCTGTTCACTGCAAACGAATGGGCCTGGCTAACGGTCCAATAAAACTTTATTTACAAAAAGCAAGCCGTGCTGTACTTTGCCGAGCCCTACTTTAGTTTGACACGATACCAGTTTAGAGACCCCTCCCCAGTGGAAGTAAAGAGCTGCCCCAGTAGTTCCAACAAAGTCCCAGGACTGACTCTCATTGGCTGGGCCTGGTCACATGTCCAACCAATACCTATGGCCAGAGGGATGGAGTATTCGGATTGGTCAGATATAATCATGTGCTCATCCTTGAGCCAATCACAGTAACCAGAGAGATGGGATGCTCTCATTGGCCAGAACTGCGTCCTGTGCTCACCCTTGGCACTGAGAGGCAGTCAGCCCCGCCTAAACCGGAAAGACCAGATCTGCAGTACTTCTCAGAAGGAACACCTTGGTACTCGAGGCAGGATATTTCTTCGTTGTGCAGGGCCCTCTTCCCATTGCAGAACGTGTCGTCCCTGACCCTCCCCATACACAAGCGAATCAATGCCCACAGTGCTCCCACCCCAAGACATTGTGACCAGAAAGCCCCCAGAAATGCCCCCAAGTGCCCCTTCTAGGTGAGAACTGTGGTCTAGAGGGGAGAAGGTTGGTCCTCCAGGGAAAAGTGACTGTTCTTAGCAGAGGGATGTATTAGTTAAGAAACAGGCCCAGCTGCTGGAGCAAAGAGACCCCAAAATAGGAATAAATTTCTCTTTTACACAAACCCTGTGGCCAGGCCAGGCTGGCAGGGCAGCTCCGTTCCCCATTCGGGCAGCCAGGTTCTTGCATCACCGTCCCTCAGAGCCGGTCGCCACCTTCACAGCAGAGGCTGCCTCATGCTGTCGCTGGTCCAGCTCACAGGACGTGGGGCACGAGGGGCCAGGGCCTGCCGTGTGCGCTGGGGAAGGTGCTGTATGTGCAGGTGCACGCATGTCACGTCCACTTGCCTCCTGGAGTTTGGAGGCAAGGCCGTGCCCAGCTGCAGGCAGACGTGGGAATGTATGTCCAGCTGAAACTTTGCCCGGGGATGACAGGAGACAGCTCAGAGGGGACACCTAGGCGTCTGTCCTCAAGAGGGGACAGTGGGCTGCCTCTCTCTCCTCTCCCATCTGTGACCTCTAACATCCTCCCTCCTCAGTTGCCATCTACCTTGGGATCAAACGGAAGCCGCCCCCCGGCTGCTCCGATTCCCCTGGAGTGTGAAGCTGACCAGCTCGCGCCCGCCCGAGGCCCTGATGGTCCGCTGCCGCCAGCCACAGCCGTTCCTGCTGGCCTGCCTGCACGGGGGTGCGGGCGGGCCCGAGCCCCTGTCCCACTTCGAGGTGGAGGTGTGCCAGCTGCCCCGGCCGGGCCTGCGGGGAGTTCTCTTCCGGCGCGTGGCGGGCACGGCCCTGGCCTTCCGCACCCTCGTCACCCGCATCTCCAACGACCTCGAGCTCTGAGCCACGGCCCTGGGTCCTCCTCCTCGTCTCCGTCACGTCTGCAGGAGGAAAGGGGTCGGGGAGGGGTCTCCCTGGTCACCCCCCAGCTGCCCTGACCTGGATTTGGGGGAAGAGACTGTCTCCTCTGCTGTTCTCTGGGGATGCTGGGCGTGAGCGGAGGGTGAGCGGGCTCAGCAGGGGCGCCTCCAGCCAGTCCTGACCCTCCTCACCCTGCATCGGGCACCAAGGAGACTTCGGGGCAGGGCAGGGGCCGGAGGAAAACTGAGGACACTTTTTCATTCCTCCCAACAGTTCAAGAATTAGGCCTTGGGCCGGGGCAGGAAGAGTTGCTGAGCCTATAGACCTGCGAATTTGGGGGCTGGGAGTGGGGGTCAGAGGCAGACTCCTTCCCTTTCCCTGCCCGTCGTGCTCGAACTCCCCTCCCGCCCCAGGCCGGTGCGGGGCACTTTGTACAAATCCTTGTAAATACCCCCACGCCCTCCCTCTGCAGAGATCTCTCGAGGAGCTGCCGCTGTCGCCTCCGGTTTTTAAGTTATTACACCCCCACCCTCCTCCTCTCGGCCCCTCACCTGCAGCCTGTTGTCCAATAAACTTAGGGAAGTCCCCCTCCTCCACGCTGTCCCTGGGGTTTTCCTTCCCTGCCCTCATCTACACGTGAGGTGAAGAGGAGGGGTGTGACTGGGCCAGTGGTTTCTCCTTTCTGAGCCTCGGTTTTCTCATCTGCAGAATGGGAGTAGTGGGGGTATGAGGGTCAAGGATGATTGTAGAACAAAACTCAGCCTCATCCACAGGCCCCCAGTTCCTAGGTGGGACCCCCATTCATCCACTCACGCGCCCACCCACATGTTATACTGGACTCTAAGCCACTTCCTACTCCAGTAGTACATTTATTCAATAAACAGTCATTGATCGGTGCCTACTCCGTGGCAGGCCCAGTGCTGCACATGGAGACAGGAGGAGCCCTGTCTACAGGGGACATGGGTTATGACAAACACTAAAGAAACCATTGTTTGGGGGATCCCAGGAGAGAAAGGAGGTTGAGGAAGGCATTCCAGAAGAACCGATGCCAGAGCTGGGTTTTGAAGAATGAGTAGGAGTTTACCAGGTATTGGGTATGCCCTGGACAAAAGCCGGGATGCATGGTATATCTTCAGAGAACTGTGGGTAATTTATTGGGGCTGCTGTGTGTGTGTGTGTGGCCGGGAGAATTAGCAAGATCAATGCTGAATTAGGACTAATAATCCATCTACATTTAAGCTAAAAGCTATTTGTTTGCTTGTTATTTAATAGTCGGGGTGCCTGACTGGGTGTGGCTGGGTCCAGGTGGCAGATCATCTCATCTCTGCTTTTTATTTTTTCAACATGAGTTTCGTTCTAGGGGTTTTATCCAGTAGACACCCCCTGTTGGCAAAGTGACCCCAGCAGTTCCAACTTTCATCGCTCTGGTTTAGTTCCTGCAGCAGGAAGTTCCTTATTGCCAACTTCCAGCAAAAGTCCCAAGACAGATTCTGATTGGCTCAGATAGGTCATGTGACCATCCCTGGACCAATTGTTGGCAAGGGCTGTATGTCAAGGTTCCCCAGAGGAAAGTCAAGGAGTCCTGGACAGCAGGGAAATGGAAGTTCAATAGACAAGCAGTTGCCCTGGCCGGTTGCTCAGTGATTAGAGTATCTGCCTGTGCACTGAAGGGTCACAGGTTCAATTCCTGGTCAAGGGCACATACCTGGGTTACCTATTTGCTCTCTGCCCCGGGGTCAGGGCTCATGCGGGAGGTAACCAATTGATGTGTCTCTCTAACATCGATGTTTCTCTCCCTCTTGCACTCTGAAAAGCAATGGAAAAATCCTCAGATGAGGAATAACATTATATATATATAAATTTTTTTTAATAGACAAGCAGTTGAGGACTGCCCAGTATGGGCAGGCAGGTCTTGTTCACCCAGCACCTTGTGGGCCAAAGTGAGCAAGCTGGGTTTATATCCCAGCCATGGAGGATTGTGCGCAGGCAAGAGCCCTAACTGTGCCTCAGTTGCCCACTTGGGGGCATGGTAGGGTCAACCCTAGCTCCTCATGAGGCTGATAGGGAAGTCATGTGAGGAATAAATTGTGGCAGAGATTGAGTGATCGGTGTGGAAAAATTCAGGGCCTGCGGCAGAAAGGCACCCCTGTCATGGAGGCCAGGAGAGCGAACTGCTGGAAGTTGTTTATAGTTGAGAGGCCGGGAAAGGGGGGGTGAGGGAGCCAGACCGTGCTGGGGACACAGCGGTGACAAAGACAGCCCAGCCCTGCCCTCGGGGCTCAGCTCAGTGAAGGAGGCAGCTGTGTCCGTCTCTCTGAAAGGAGCAGCTGGGTGGGGCGGTGAGGGGCATGGTGCGGGAGTTCTCGGTAGAGGGACAGCCTGTATGATTGATTGGCTGGGAAGCAAGGGAGTGCAGGTTCCTCAGCAAATGGCATGTGACTCAGGGGGAGAGGAGGCTGGAGATGTTGACAGGGCCTTGAAGATGGTGGAGAGGGGCCTGGGCCCTATTCTGAGGGCCCTGGGGAGCCCTTGGTTGTGAGCAAGGGGGCAGCAGGGGCAGGTTTGTGCTGTGAAGGGAGGGAACAGGGCCCTGGCCAGGTAGCTCAGTTGATAAGAGTTGTCCCCATAGGCCATGATTGTGGGCTTGATTCCCAGTCGGGGTACATACTAGAGGCAACCAATGAATGCAGAGATAAGCGGAACAACAAATAGCTCTCTCTCATCAAGAAATGAATTTTTTTTTAAAAGAGTAGGGAAGAGATGGGGGCAGGACCAACCAAAGGTGGGGAGGAAAAGGGTAGGTTTAAGGCATACGAGGCAAATGGGCCGGGTGGACATGGCAGCTGCCGGACGCCTGGGCTGCGGATTTGACTGACAGCCTGTCCCCCCTGCAGTGTCGTGACCTGTGTGGCCTCTGGGGTGGAGCTGGGCTTAGGGATGGGTCCTCAGTTGGGGACAGTCTAAAGGACACCCTGGGAGCTGCTCCTACCCTTCCTATTTCTGTCATCTCTGGGGATTCTTGGGGATCCCTGGGCCTCAGTTTCCTCCTTCCTGCTCCTCAGAACCAAGCTCTCCAGAAGGCCAATCACTGGAGACTTCATGGGGATACTCTGCCCCAAGTCCCTGCTGGAGGAGGAAACAGCCTTCACAAAGACATTAAGGTGGAACTTGCAGGTGTAAGGAGCAAAGAGTATACAGTGGGGCCTTGACTTACAAGTGTCCCGACTAACGAGTTTTTCGAGATACGAGCCGTCTCTCGGCCGATTTTTTGCTTTGAGTTGCGAGCTAAAATTCGGGTTACGAGCCAGCGTCAGGTACCCCACCGCTAGTTGGCGCAGCGAACGTCACAGTGAACGCCACAACATCAGCCCAGCATCACGTGTCTCACTCGTTCACAATTGATTTGACATATGAGTAATTTGAGTTATGAGCTTCGTCATGGAACGAATTAAACTCGTAAGTCAAGTCCCCACTGTATAGAGGAACGGCGGGGAAGAACAGGAAAAATGAGCCTCAGCAAACGGAATGCATCCGGCTAGACAGGTAATAGGAATGCCTTTTAAGGGACATGGGCGCTATGGCAGGTTCTTGGGCAAAATGAAGGTGAAAAGACGTGGCAGCCGAGGGAGGAAGTCAGACCTCACAGGAGGCCAGTGGAAGGCATAAGGAGGCGCAGTGAGGACCTGCGTGTGAGGCCCCAGCTGGAAGCCCGCGGGCCAGTTTCAGGTCTCGGACACTGGCCTGGGTTCCTCCCTCCCGCGCCCCGTGTTTGAGATCTGAGCCACGTAAGAGCAGGAGCCAGGGTTGGAAGGGCCCCAGCTTAAGTCTTGGTTTTACTATGGCTGCAAATATCAACAAATGTCTATACGTGACACGGCACCAGAGTTAAGTGAGGGTTTTTCAGAATGCTGGCACGCCGAGCTCAAAAGGTTCGCCATCACTGCTCTGTACCCTAACCTGGCCTCATGGGGGATAGAACGTGCCCAGAGAGGGCAAACCACTTCGAGGTCACAGAGCAGCCAGTTACAAAAGTCCCTCCTGCCCCCTCAATAACGTGCCCACAAGGTTAAGGCCACCATTGCTTTTATTTGTTGCTTTGAGCGGAGAAAAAGCATGCGCGCCACGTGTGGAGGACGCTCCCCGTGGCAGAGCTCCGGGAAAGTAGAGGTTTTGCATTGGCCGGAACCCAGAGGAGGGGCCCAGTGGTTGGAACTGGTTGGAAGAGGAGCTCCGAGAGGGACTGGGTGGGGCCCCTCGGTGACCAAGCCGTCGCAGGCCGGCCTCCGGGGGCAGGGGCGCGTCTCCAGTGGGCCGGGCCTTCCTTCCCTTGGGCGGGGGCTCCGGCGGGCGGCGGCGGGCGGGCTGGGCGCCTACTTCTGGGCGGGGATCATGTCGTCGATGGACTGGCCCTTTTCCAGCTTCTTCTCCATCTCCACCATGAGCTTCACGCCGTCCACCACCAGCTGCACCTGCTCTACCTCGGACGAGCCCAGCCGATCGGCGTTGGACACGTCGAACACGGAGCCCACGGCAGCTGTGTCCACGCCACCTGCGGGAGCAGAAAGCGGGGGCCTGAGGAGGGAGCGGGGGTACCCACGGCCGCCTGCACTGAGGGTTACATGCTCACAGAGCCTCCTAAATGGCTGTCAGTCGGGGCCCACACCTCCGGCTTCAGTTACCTCGCCCCCGACTGTCCAGCAAGGAAATGGAGCCTGGTGGGCAGCGCGCTCTGCAGCTGGGCCACTGGGGTCCAGCCCGACCGTCTGCCCCTTTAGTTGGGAAACCGAAGCCCCCAGGGGGCGGGGACGCACAACGTGTGCATTCTGTCACCATGGTGATGTGCCGACGCCTCTGAGGTAAGCTGTTTGATGCGCATTTGCAGGGGAAGAAACTGAGGCTC